GTCACGCGGGTACTGGGAGTGGAGAGAAAGAAAAAAAAAAAAAAAAAAGCAAAACAAAAAACATAAAAATTAAACAACAAAATCCTGGAAAGCCCCCGGACCGCACCGATGCGGAATTTTTTTTGCAAGAAGGCGAAAGAAGAAATCGGAAGTGACGTCGCGGCCAAAACAAGCCCAGGCTTGGGGGCCTGTACAGAATCTGTGGCTGTAGATGGAAAGCCGTGACCCACTGTCTGCTGTCGGAGGTGGTCGCGAGGCCCTGAGCGCCCACCTGGTCGGCCTCCTGTCCCTGTTCCCGAGAGCCACTCTCCGCGGATGAGCGAGAGTTGCCTGGGATTTTGGGGCCGCAGCTGGCCGCTGGCGTCAGAGCGGACTTCCGCCCCCTACAAGAGTCTCCAGCCGGCTCCTGTCCTGGGACACCTGTCGCCTGTGAGGCATCATTCATTTTCATAGCACCTTCTTCTCCTTATAGGATAATAATCAGGATTACGAAGAACCGGGGAGGCTCCTGTTATTGTCCCTTGGAGACGAGTACAGTTGCCACTTTATCTCATTAGGTTTTCTCTTCCTTTATCTCTGGGCTCTTGACAGATTGAGACGATCCTAGTTGTCCTTGGCCTTACCTCTTTTTCTCACCACTGCCTCTTCTCTGTCATTCTCCCTACAGCAATTAACATCGCTTCTCCTTTCTACAGTAGTACTAGGATAAGCGTTCTGGTTCCCTCCACCAACGCACATTTGCTGTTTTCGCCTCAAAGGCCAGTAATTCATGCATAAGCCTTGATTTATAACATAGAAGCCGTTTAGGGCCGGATAGATTATTACAGAAGTCTTTTTTAACCTTCATTCTCATCTTATGAGGTTATACGTTTTGTATTGCACATTTAGCCAGTAGTGACGTTGGGAATGGAAAGCCAGCTGTAACCAGCAAATGTCAAAAATAGGAATATGAAACGTTGTTAGCGGTCAGACCAAGAAACATTTATGGAGCACCCAATAGGAACAAGTACCGATTTGTGTGCAAAGATTAGTAAGAGTGGTATGATCCTAGATATGTTTGCTAAATTAAAATTGAATTTAAATTGATATTTTCCGGAGAATGGTAAATGCTAAAACAGAGATATATACAAGATGCTGAGAGAGCTCAAGGGAGTTGAACTTAGCTCACTCCTAGCTAAGAGAATGGGAGAAAAGGTTCTTCCTTCAGGAAGCACAGTTCACGTTGTACAATCCCTTTTTAGGACCCATGGACAACTGCCTTATGCGGCCATCTCCATTTCAGGCCCTGCACTGATTTTCAGTCCTGGTCTTTTCCTTTTGTTAAAATATATTAACATTGTCACCTGTTTCTTGTTTTCCTTAACATGTGTTCTTTTTCCATCTATTTCTCCAGAGGAAGTTGCGGATTAGTTTAATGCTGCTCCTATTTTAATGTTCTGAGTAATGGAGTCAGTGAGCTGTATGGGTCCCTTTAATGTATGAGCTTCTTTTTTCTCCTCTGTCAGGTAGACGTGATGATGACCTGCCCAGCCTATTCAATGGGCTGTTATAATGATAAATCTTTGGAAATGTTTTTCAAACTATAGTTATCCACAAATGTATGGTTTGATGATTGCTGCTTCACTGCAGTTCTAATGCATTTTTTCCTTTAACTCCAATTCATTCTAATTTTAAAATACCCTGAGTCCTCTCGAAATTTCTAAGAGGCAGTAGACCTTAACATGAAAAAAAAAAAAAAAAAAAAAAACCACAACTGGCTGTTATTAATTTTCTTCCTGCCTCATGTGATAGTATATCTGGGGTAGTTATATGTCTTAGGAAGCCAATTCATAATCTGCATGCTTTATTTTTCATAAAAATTTAAGTAAAGGTGCTAATACTTGATCTAAACAAGAATTAGTAAATATACCTTCAGTTCATCAAAACCAAAGCTTTGGGGAACTAGCAGTTAGCGTAATGGCTATGTCGCTGGACTCCCACGTAGTTGACCGCGGTTTGTGTCCCGGACCCGGTGGCTTAAAACTCACGCCGGGCGCGTGTGCATGCGTGCCCAAGATCCCGAGAGGAGAATGGAGGAGAAGGGATTGCAGCGTGACCATCCCCCCTGGGAGGTGATTTCTCGCTTTCTGTCTCTATGTCTCTCTCTGTCTGTCTGGCGAGCGCACGCGCCCTAGCGCGCGCACGCGCCATACAGTAAAAATCTCTCCAAAAAAAAAAAAAAAAAAAAAAACCAAAGCTTTGTAAAGCCTTGGTCTAGGAATCACAGGTATTATATATAACAATGCTAATAAACTCCGGTATAACATGAGTTACATTTTTTTTCTTAAATTCAATCCAAGAGCCATTTATATAGACATAGCATGTTTAAAGCAAAACCAAAACAAACAAAAAAGAAAACCTCAAGTAAGAGGTTAAAGACTTAATGTAAAAGTTTATTTTCATTGTTGCTCTGATATTTTATTCATTTATTCATACAGGAAAGGGAGAAATGGTAACTGAAATTCAGTGATGGAAATGAAAAATTTTCTTATATTTCACTTGGTCTTCATCAGAATTCATAAAGTTAACCGTGGTATCTCTGTTTTACGAATGAGACTGAGGCTCAAAGAGCTTAAAAATAACTTGTACAGATCACACACCTAAGTAAATGGCAATACTTGGATTCATACCTAGGATCTCTGCGTTTGGACAGAGTATGCTTTCTATTGGATATAGATGCTTGTAAGAGGTGTCTGGATACCTGATTGAGGATTATTTTATGAATTTTGCCTAAGTTCATATAATACTTTTAATTGTCTGATTTTTTTTCTTTCAGATTTTTAACATCCAAATTCCAAGAAAACACTGGGTGCCACTTTTATAAAACCAAGAGAAAATCATGAAGAAATGTTTTAAGTATTGAAATACAGTTGAAATCATGGCTTCATCAACAAATCTGGATATTGGAGCCCAGCTGATAGTGGAAGAATGTCCTAGCAGTTACAGTCTAACTGGCATGCCAGATATTAAAATAGAGCATCCGCTGGACCCAAATTCAGAAGAAGGATCTGCTCAGGGTGTTGCCATGGGAATGAAATTCATATTGCCTAACAGATTTGATATGAACGTGTGTTCTCGTTTTGTGAAGTCCTTAAATGAAGAGGATAGTAAAAACATTCAAGATCAAGTTAATTCTGACCTGGAAGTGGCATCTGTCCTATTTAAAGGTTGAAAGTTATGGTATAAATATCTGCATTTGTTTTAGTTTATTTATTTCATTTTATTTATTTATGTTTATAATTGTGAAGTTCTGTTTGGAAATCATCTTTTAATAATTTTCTAGAGTCTCACAGAATTCAAAATTAAATAATTTCGAATTATGTAATGACTATTTTTTTAATTATTTATTTAATTTTATTCATTCATTCACTTATTTCAATTTGACTAGAGAGAGACAGAAAATGAGAAGGCAAGCCACCAGGTCTGGGACTCGAACTGTGGTCAGCCATGTGGGTTTGTCCAGTGCCTTAACCACCATGCCACCTGCTGGTCCCTGTAATGTCTATTTTAAAAGGAGTGCTTTTTAAGTTTTTTACCTCATTTTTATTATTTACAGTACAAATTTTCTAATGAAGTATTTACTGTGCCTTTTTTTATTTTTTTAAATGGGGAACGAAGGGAGTAGAGAGAGTATAAGTATTTTTGTCTGGGTCTCACCACAGTCCAATCCTCGTACCCCTGCCTCCCAGCTAGCTGGGACCACAAGCACAAGTCCACCATACCTACCCTGTTTATATTGGACGTGGAACAAAACCTGGACCTCCAGGCAGCTTCAGCGCCTACACAGTGGTACCCTCTTGCTTGCACTGCAGCTGGGCCCTTTACTGTATCTTTTAAAACATAGGAGAGAAAAATTCCTTGTACCTTTTAGAAATTAATTAACTTAATATTCTCTATTTAAATTAATAATTTGCATATGCTTCTTAGGTATAATACAATAAAATCTGTCATCATGCCGTGGATTTATTTGTATGATGATCTGTTGAAAATATAACTATTGAGGCCGGCAGGTTGCATAGAAATTAAGGCACTAGACTCCCACGTGGCAGACCATGGTTCAAGTCCTGGACCTAGCATCTTGCTTTCTCATTTTCTCTCTCACTCTCTTTCTCTGTCTCTCTCTGGTCAAATTGAAAAATAATAATAATAATAAAATTAAATAAATAATTTTTTAAAGAATTATCTTATTTAACTTTGTTTATTTATTTAAATTTGACCAGAGAGGGACAGAGAAAGAAAGTGAGAGCAAGAGCAAGAGTGGGAAAGTGAGAAAGCAAGCCACCAGGTCCAGGACTTGAACCACGATCAACCGAGTGGGAGTCCAGCACCACCACCCCCCCCCCTCCCAGCCCCTAAATAAATAATTTTTTAAAAAAATTATGGGGCTAGCAGATGGTATAGCGGTTACATTACTATAATCCCACATGGCTGACCGTGATTTGAGTCCTGGACCCAGTGACTTGAAACTCACACCAGGCACATGTGCATGCATGCCCAAGATCCCAGGAAGAGAATGGAGGAGAAGGGATTGAAGTGTGGCCATCCCTCTTGGGAGATGATTTCTCACTTTCTCTCACCATCTCTCTCTGCCCAGAGAACACATGTGCCCTAAGGCAAAACCTCCATAAAATAATAATAATAGTAAAAGAAAGAAAATATAACTATTATCATTATCTTAGGATAAATTGCTCAAGATTAACCATGTTTTCCCCAGAACTTTTATTATGATAGTACAAACTTTTTATGATCAAAATATCACTTGAGGGAGCCAGCAGGTGGTGTGGTGGTTAAGACGTTGGACACTCCCACATGGCCAACCACAGTTTGAGTCCTGGACCTGGTGGCTTGCTTTCTCACTTTCTCTCTCTCTCTGATCAAATTAAAATAAATAAATAAAATAAATAATTCTTTTTTTAAAATCACTTGATAAACAAGCCATTATTTCCTCATGCATTTCTTTTTAAATGTCAGCATTAACATAGAACTTTTTTGAAGTGCTTTGTCATTAAAATATTGTTTTCATACATTTAAATTTATTTTTCTTAGCTGAATGCAATATACATACATCTCCTTCTCCGGGAATTCAAGTAAGGCATGTCTATACTCCATCTACCACAAAGCATTTCTCACCCATAAAACAGTCAACTACTCTGACCAACAAACACAGAGGAAATGAGGTCTCTACTACACCTCTGTTAGCAAATTGTAAGTATTTGCCACTGATGTATTAGCCTATTACTACTTGTATAGTTGTTTCCATTGTTTGGCTTTGAAACATTTTCATTAAACACATATTCTCTTTTTGAAAGCCTAAGTGGTGTCTTAATAGTTTTAGTAATTTAAAGTTTTTTCATGTATTACTGCCTATTTGAATATTTCATGTGTTATGCTTCTCTGTTGTGAACAGATACAGATTGAATGTTAATTATTAAAACCTTTATGGTTTTACTGTAAAAGCAATGAGTTATTCTGAACTTTTTACAAATTAAGACATTGTCAGTATTTTTGTTTTCTTGGAGTATAAAGTTTCATGTTTTACACAGAAACTATAGTTCACTTATCATCAAATGATTGTATAGTAAAACTGAGTGCTTTCTATTATAATATTGAACTTGAATGTAAAGATTTGAATAGGAAACCAATTTTGAAAACTTTTAACCCATAGTTTTAAAAAATTTAGAATTACTCTGGAAGAAATTAAATGAATTCATTTTTCTTTTTTTTTTTTTTTTTTGGAGAGGTTTTTGCTATAGGGTGTGTGTGCTCGCCAGACAGAGACAGAGAGACAAAAAGCAAGAAATCAACCCCCAGGGGGGATGGCCACACTGTAATCCCTTCTCCTCCGTTCTCCTCTCGGGATCTTAGGCACGCACGCACACGCGCCTGGCATGAGTTTTAAGCCACTGGATCCGGGACGCGAACCGCGGTTGACTACATGGGAATCCAGTGACATAGCCACTATGCTAACTGCTGGTCCCTTAATTCATTTTTCTAATTAAGCTAGAAGATATTCTATAGGGCATGAGTGTAGTGATGAGAGAAGAACAGTTGGCAATAACTGTTTTTGAGAGTATAATGTGAATTTATCTATATTCTGAAGCATGGTGAAATCTCTAGTTTGTATCCAGTAAACCCCTCCTGATTTCTGAATCACGTGCCATAGCAGTTGAGCTAGGACTTTGTCCTCTAGGACTCCACCTATTGGCCATTTCTGATTTACTTGTATAAGTTTGCATGTGCCTTATGTTGTTGTCAGAAAAATCATGATGTATTTTTTCTGTTTTTCTATGCAGAAATTCATCATGACTTTTCCAACAACCTAATCTTTGTGTATTAAAGCTACTAGTCCTATCGCTGAAGTCAATGATCATGTGATATTAATTTTTAAAGGAGAATTATCATAGAACAATGCTTGTTGGCATTGTTTTAAAATAGATTATTATGAAATATTCCATCCATAGAATTTTGAGCTGAAAAGAAAGAAATAGCTAGAGATCATCTGTTTCACATTTGCATGTCACAAATCAATATGTTTAATTGGTTATTCAAAATCATACAGATAATTAGCCACAACTAAGCCTACAGTCAAGAATTTACTCTCAAGACCAGTTTTCCATTCATGACCTCACTCCTCCTAATGTTAAGAAAAACCATATGGAATCTTGAATATAAAATATTCAGGGTTTCAGTAGAGTCAATCAATAAAAAAGACAAAAAGGATGTCTTTGTTTCTTTTAGAACTGCCTTCCTCATATATTTGGATAGCATTTTAAAATTAAATACCTAAACCAATTTCTCCAGAGTAAATTTCATTGAGAATAACAATTTGCAGACATCAAATTAAATGAACATAGGTGAGTTAATTGTTAAATACAGTGTGGACTCTTGTATTGTTATAGTTTAAGTTACATTTTTAAAAGATAAAATGATAATTTTTGTTTTGGGAAAGAAAATTGCACCAAAAGGAAGCATGGGATGATGTAAGTGTACTCTAGATACACATGAGGCATTTTATGCTATTATTTCAGCTTTGTCTGTTCACCAGTTGGCAGCCCAGGGAGAAATGCTCTATCTGGCTACCCGTATTGAGCAAGGTAATAGCCTATTTTTAAGTATTTCACTTTAAATAAATTCAGTTAGATTTATTATATTTGTTACTGTTTTGTTGTATTTCAATAGAGTAAAGTATAAAGATAAAAACAAACAATTGTGTAATCTCACTAGGCAGTTAACCCAATGATTATTTTAAAAAAATAGTAAAGTAATATAAAACATAAAAGTTACAGCTTTCTTTATCACCCTAGCTTTTTCTTCAAAAGCAAGCGTTACCTAACCTCCTTATATTTTCAGAAAAATTTCTAGAAAATATTTCTATTTGAATTTTGGGCTTGTATGAGGATGTATGTGTGCTTTTAGTTATTAATCAGAGGGAAAGTATTATGTACACCGCACTGGACCTTACTTTTTTTGCTTGATATTTTGAAGATTGTTTCATATAAACACAAAGAGATCTATTTCATTCCTTTTTTTTTTTTTAATAAGAGAGCATGTAGTGCACAAGTGGGAAGGGGACAGTGGAAGAGAGAGAGATTTCATGACAGGATGTCAGTGCTTAGTGACCTTCCTGCCCCAGCTTTTCAGTTTGCTAAGACCACAGGTGCCACCGTACCACTGTGTTGAGATTAGGTCAGGGACTGAACCAGAGCCTCCATGGCCTCATCCATCACTCATGGGCACCCTCCTATTGGCACCACCCCAGCTGGCCTGATGCCTTCCTTTAGTAGTTTCATAATTTTGCACTGAATTACATATACATATGTAGTTTCTATTTACCCAACCCTCAGAGGGTATTATCAGGCTCGTAATTCTTATTAATCTATGGGGTATTATCAGACTCTTAATCCTCATTAATCTCACAGTCATTTCATTTATATTTTTATAATTATGATCTGTTTTCATTTCTTTTTAGTAAACTGCCTATACTGATTTATATGAACTTTATTTAAATTAAGGACGTTCACTTTTGTTGTGTGATACACATAGTTCTACCCTTCTTTGTCGTTTTTCTTTTGACTTCATTTATGATGTCTTCACACAAAGGCATAGTATTTTAAACTAATTTATTTATTTGTATGAACACTTAATAATTGTACATATTGGTGGGGTATAATGTGATCTTTGAACACTTAAATGCAACATGTAATAAATATTGGGTTGTTGAAAAAGTCATGACAAATTTTTTCTCTCTATATATTTTTTTAATGTAAAAATGCATCATTACTTTTCCTACAACCCAATAAATCAGGGTAAGTAGTATGTCTGTCGTCTTACCCATTTGTCATTACTATGTGTTGGGGATATTCAAAATTCTCCTTTCTAATTACTCTGGGATATACACCCTACTGTATTTTATAACACTAGAAATTATTCCTCTTATCCTTCTACAATTTTGTTTCTCTTAATCAACACTCTTCTATCCTGGACCCCCCATCCTTCCCAGACAAAAGAATAACACTTTTAAGTGGTAAATGTTTTTCTTGTGACTCCTGGGTTTTATATTCTACCTAAAAAGACCTTTTCACTCTAAGATTACATATAAATTCAGCCATTCCTTGTCTAGAACTACTCTGGTTTTCTTTTTTATGTTTGACTTATATGGATTATAAGCTCATGTAATAAAGCAAGGATCAAGCTTTAATTTTTTTTTTTTTCGAGATGTTAGCCAGTTGCTCCAGTGTTGTTTATAGGGAGCATGAAAAAAAAGAGCTGTTTTTTAAAAATCATGTCATTCTTTTATAAGAAAGACTTATTTAATCATTGTATTTCTATTTTCTTACAAATATTTGAAGGTTTCATTCTTAATCTCCTGAGTAAATTTAGATGACTCTGTGGACCTTACAACTAGTAGACTACATCTATAAAATAAATGGGGTTCAAGGTAGAATTACATGGTACTATTTTTCAGATTATTCAGTCTTCATTCACATGATATTTTTAGCAAACCACAAGAATGAGAGAAATTTAAAGGCAGCAATGTTAACTGTAAAGTAGAAAATAGCATTAATAAGACTCTAGACCTTTTTTTTAGGGCTTTTTGTTTGTTTTTAATTTTGCCAGAGGGTGCATGCACTTGCAGGAGAGAGACAAAGAGAGAAGGGGCCAGTAAGTGGTGTGTTTAAGGCACTGGACACCCACAGGGCTGACTACAGTTTGAGTTCCAGGCATGGCAGTTTAAAAATTATGCCAGGGACATGTTCATGTGAGCCCAAAATCCCAGGAAGAGAATGGAGGAGAAGGGATTGCAGTGTGGCCATCCCCACTGGAAGGATGATTTCTTACTTTCCCTCTTACTGTCTGTATGGCAGTGCACACACCCTATGACAGAAACCTTAGAGAGAGAGAGGAAAAGTGAGAAACCGCCCACTATGGGGAATGGTCATACCACAATTCCTTCTCCTCCACTTCTCCCTACTTTTTGGACTTAGGGGGCATGTGTGCATGCACATGCACCTGGCATGTTTCTCAAGCTGCTAGGTCTGGGATTCAGACCACACAGTGGGCCATGTGGGATCCAGCTGCCTTAACCACCAGGCTATAGGCTGGCTAGACTGTGTATAAAATAATGCACATATTTATGTCATGTCAAAGGCTGTGATATAATTTCATTTTTATTGTGATTTTCACACTACATATTACAGTAAGGAAGACATTATTCAGTGATCAGAGATACTAAGTGACTCAATGATGCTGCTAGGAAGTGATAGAGCCGGAATTCAAAGTCTGGTCTCCTGATTCTGAGTCGTGTTCTGTTGACTTTCTTGTACCTAGCATTATGTCATGCCTGGCAGTTTAAACTTTTAAATAGTATGCTCTGTGTACCCCAAGGCATTTTAATACACTCAGACTACAAACTGCAACTTCATGCAATAGAACTGCAGCAAATAAAAGTTAACACAAAGTTAGCCTCACTAAGCGATATAATCAGATTGCGGAATGCCAGTGTTTTCATAGTGATGTTAGTATGTGGTTGTTAAATTAGATCACAAAAATTGCTTTTCTTTTAACTAGAAAATGTTATCAATCACACGGATGAAGAAGGATTTACTCCTCTGATGTGGGCCGCAGCACACGGGCAAATAGCTGTGGTAGAGTTTCTACTTCAGAATGTAAGGAAAATGCCTCAGAAAATGTACCTGTAAAGACATTTAAGTTCAGTTAAGTCTTTAGTAAAGCTTTTCCGTCTCCAGCCAGCTAGATAAAATGACAGAAGATTTAAAAAAAAAAAAAAGTGTTTAAATGTCCTTTGTTCTCATGGAACTAGACTCTAATTGGGAAAGCCGTCCTAATCAGACATGAAACAGAAGTAATAATGTCTAGCCCCTTTAGGTGCAGTGGGGACAAAAGTACCATCTGCCCTGTAGGAAAAGGCTTCATGGAAGAGCTGGGGCTTGACTGGAGGGAAAGGATAGTTAGGATTGAGACAGGCAGGGGGAGGCAGGAAGGCATCTAGACAACCTTATGATAACAGGAGCATCCATGACCAAAAGTTTCCATTATTTATTAACCCCAGAAGATTACTTGACTTCAGTGTTGAACTGTGATTATTATTGACAGAAATAACAACATTCTGTTTAAATTCATTGAAAAGTCTTTCATCTCCCCTTCCCACATCAGGGTGCTGATCCCCAGCTCCTAGGCAAAGGTCGAGAAAGTGCACTGTCATTGGCCTGTAGTAAAGGCTACACAGATATCGTCAAAATGCTGCTTGATTGTGGAGTTGATGTAAATGAGTATGACTGGGTGAGTCCAAAGTACTGAATTTAAATTATTGTTTCAAAGTCTAAAATTTGTTTGGTTTGGGGGAGACACAATAAATTTTACTAAACATCTAGAAGAAAATTAATGAAAACTTGGAAGAAAAAGTAATATCATAAGCTTATTTTATAGTTCTGATGTAAGTATTCTTCACAAAATATTAAAATTATCTTCAACTCTTTTTTTTTAAGAGATATTTTTGCTACAGGGCACGTGCACTCACCAAAGACATAGACAAAGAGACAAAAAGTGAGAAATCATCCCCCAGGGTGGATGGCCATACCGCCGTCCCTTCTCTATTCTCCATTCTCTTCTTGAAATTTTGGACATGCATACACACACACCCGGTGTGAGTTGGAAGGTGCCAGGTCTGGAACTCGAACCGCAGCTGACTGCGTGGGAGTCCAGCAGCATTACCAATGCCCCATCTGCTGGTCCCTCTTCAGCTACTTTTACATGCCCAATTCTTCATAAAACTTTTCAGAGCAGTATGAAATTGCTTGAACCTTGCTCACCCTGAAAAAGCTCAAAATCACCTTTTCATTTTACAGAATGGAGGGACCCCTTTGCTTTATGCTGTACACGGAAATCACGTGAAATGTGTAAAGATGCTCTTAGGTAAGCAGAGAGAAACGAACATTAGTTAGACAACGCATATGAGCACTGTAGTTTTCCACCTGGCCTTCCCTGGCTTCACTCGAGAGTCAGTAACTTGTTAAACATGTCAGCCCTGCTGCTGTTCACCCTCGGAACACCAGCCCCCGCAGGGCCGCCCCTGGGAGAAGCAGCTCCATCACACGCCACACCTGCTCTTGGAGCTTCCATCCTTGCTACCTTCATTTGGGGGGGGCACATCTGAATCCACAGTGGTTTTCTCTGTCCCCAGTATCTTTATACGTAAGTTCATCTTTAGTTGTTTATGAGTTGCAGTCACTTTAAAGGATGCCTGTTAGTTTGAAGTGTCTTCTCTCCAACCCGCCCAGCAGATGAACGCTGAATACCCATGTGCTAATGTATTTTGTCAGATCATCCTGAAAATACCCTCTAAAATTGCTAAAAATTAACTGCGCACTTTTTAATTCAACGATAACAATGCCCCCCCCATGGATTGACAGCAAACCCTATATAAAGTTGATGAATTAATAATCCAACTCTTGGTACATGAGCCAATATAGACATGCATATCCATGTTTCCATTTTATTTATGCAGAGTGTTTTATTTTGGTATAGAAAATGGAGCTGACCCAACAATTGAAACCGATTCTGGATATAATTCTATGGATTTAGCTGTCGCCCTGGGCTATAGAAGTGGTAAGTACTTTTGAACTCTTAGGGTTTATTTTAGTAAGGCTCTATAAATAGTATAAGTCAGTAGCCCAAAACATTTTCATCACTTGTAGTCATAAAATGTTGCATATTATCCCAACTCCTGGCATACTTTTAACTGTGGACAGAGTAAATAAATTTCTACAAAATCTTGAAATGAGTTTATACTATGCTTTTCATCATCCCAGATAATTGGTACAGGAGGATAAGTGCATACCTATTTACAAGATTTATTTTCACAGCAAACTATTTCTAGAACAATCTTAGAACAGCCTCATACTCTGGACTCTTCCCTACCTTTCAAAAATATAAAAACCAAGACACAGTAAGTTCAGCAACTTAGACAGTTATTAAGTGACAGACTAAGTTGAAGTTTTTTTAAGTATTGCATTCCGACATCACGATTCGAGTGTATCCTACTTAGAAATAACCTTATTTTAGGAGGAAGTAGGTGACGTTCAGTTGAATTTGGGCGTCTGTGTCTTTGCCTCTGCAGTGAGTGTGCTGTGATCTCATCACCTGTGTGCTCTAGTTCAACAGGTTATCGAGGCACATTTGCTGAAGCTGCTTCAAAATATCAAGGAGTAAACATGATCATGAGAAAACGTTGACTGCTCTTCTGTTTACTTTTTGATTCTTATAAATGATAGTTTTGTTTACTTATAAATTTTTACCTCGGTTGCAATATTTACTGATTTTTTAGTAAGTTTTAATAAATATTTCTCTAAGTAATTCACTGGTTTATAATAAGAGTAATGTTAATTCTTTTTTATAAATGTGTTTTACTGCATATTTTAAATTATAAATTAATGTTTTGTGGCATGTAAATTTTTATGGTACAGATAGTTATCTGTCTTTGTATCAAGTGCTGTAATTTGACATTTCCAGAAATTATTTCATGCTGTTCATTGTTACTCTTGTATTAACTCATTGACTTTATATAGAGTTTGCTATAAATCCACACATACATTAGGGGGGAAATGTTATTGTTGAAGTCAAAAGTGCACAGTGTGATTGTTTACAAAATGATATAATAAATAAACACCTTTGCTGTCAGTTTGTTTGCTTTTGTTTTGTTTTATTTTTTTAGAGTTTTGTTATATGGCTCATACGCTCACTGGAGAAAGAGAGATATGCAAAGCAAGAAATTGCCCCCCAGGGGGATGGCCATGCCACAATACCTTTTCCTCCATTCTCCTCCATTTTGGGCACACATGCACATGAACCCCGCATGAACTTCAAGTCTCCAGATCCAGGACTCACACCACAGTTGGCCATGTCAGAGTCCAGCAACATAACCATTACACCATTTGCTGGTCTCCATTTGCTAGTTTCTAAAATTATATAAGATTATTAGAAATTTATATAGGATTTTTATCAATAGTTCAACTATTCTGTCTTGACAGATCAAACAGTATAATTAAAATAAATTAAATATAAGTCAATCAATGAATTGTCATTTTTAAAATATATTTAGAATATTTTTGTCCTGTAAATAAGCTTTTCAGTAGAAAAAGTCTACTGTAAAAGTCTACTATAAAAGAGAAAATTCTTCAAAAAGTTAAATGCTCTTTAATCGTACTGAAGAAACATAAACTCATGGTTCACCAAATCTAGAAAGAGAACCATGGGCTAGAAGTTGATTTGACCATTGAGTGTGGGACTTGAGTTAAATCACTTCATCTGGAAAACAGATGTTACATCAGTTAGAATACATTGGTTGTAAGCCACATCAACTTAATCTGGCTAATTTAAGCAAGAGAAAACTAATGCAAAGATACAGAATGGAAGGAAAATCTGAAGAAACAGGCAGTTCCAAGAATGATTAGTAGGAATCTAGACACCATGCCAAGTCATTTTGGGTGCCGCTACTATGATGTTTAAGTCTAAACCCCTTGTTGATCATTCTGCTCAGGATTTAAAGTCCTAGGAGGCAGAACTCTCTATCGTGGCACACGATAAACGTGCCCCTACACGCGGCTGAGAGAAGGGGATGACTGAACAGCCATCCTCCATAGCCAGCAGGCCACCCGAAGTGTGGCTGCCTGAGGGAAACCAGGGAGAAGATCCGAACGCAATCTACGTAGTATGTGGAAATGGTACTAGTGCTTCACCCATTCTCAGTGAGGCACGTACTTTACACACAGTTTCCAGCACAAGTGAAGGACTTGCCTGAAACCACTCACCTCTCCCTTGGTTCCTTTTCTCATTAATTGTATACCCATGAAGTGGTGCTTCCCGGGTACGCAGTATCAAAACCCAGTGATCCATTTGGGCACATCGCTCCAGTGTTGTTTGCAAGTGCTTCCTCCTCTGAAGAGCAACCAAATAACCTCGTTGGGGTTGAATCTAGAATAGCCACTTCACGCCTGCTCTGACTCTGAAGACTGACAGCTAACGTATATCAGAGACTATACGGAAGGGAGCACCCTCCCCTCTCTGATTCGACCATCTGTTAGCATCCCTGATAAATAACTCAAAGAAGTCCCTTAAGAAGTAGACACCAATACAAGTTCATAAGAGTGATGTTTAAAAGCCAGTTGTTATAAAATTCCTCTTTTAAAAATAAAATACCTGGTGGCCGGCAGGTGGCATGGTGATTAAGTGCACTGGACTCCCACATGGCTGACTGTGGTTCAAGTCCCAGACCTGGTGGCTTTTTCACTTTCCCTCTCTCTTTCTCCCTCTCTCTCCCTGTCTCTCTCTGGTAAAAATTAAATAAATATATAACGTTAAATAAAATAATTATTTTTTTAAAAATCAAATACCTGTTATGTAGTGTTTGTTAATTTCATAAATATTTATTTGGAGTTCATGTGCCACTCACCACTGTAGTTGCTGAAAAAATAAAGTACTAAGCACAACCCTCGGGTCAGACAGTCCTCAAGGTCAGCAGTTGGCGTGGTGGTTAAGGTGTTGGACTCCCACATGACTGACTTTAGTTTGAGTCCCAGACTTGGTGGCTTGAAAGTCATGCCAGGCATGTGTGCATGTGTGCCCAAGATCCTGAGAGGAGAATGGAGGAGAGGGCATTGTGGCACGGCCACCCCCCTCAGGGGGTGATTTCTTACTTAATGTCTTCTCTGTCTCTCTCTGGCAAGTGCACACGCCTTATGACAAAAAGAGAGAGACAGAGAAGACATTAAGTAAGAAATCACCCCCTGAGGGGGGTGGCCGTGCCACAATGCCCTCTCCTCCATTCTCCTCTCAGGATCTTGGGCACACATGCACACGTGCCCAGTGTGAGTTTAAGCTGCCGGATATGGGATTCGAACCACAGTCAACTACATGGGAATCCAGAAACATAGCCATTAGGCCAACTGTTTTTGAGCCCCCTTTCATGTTTTTGAGCCCCCCTCATAGCAAAGGACTGAGTCTCCCAAGCTTGCGCTCTGCTCATGCTCAGAATGTAAATAGCTCAGCATCTTTCAAGCTAAAATACTGAGGAACAAATTTTATGTTGTCGTTAGAAAAAGAAGAATCTTACTGTAAATTATTTTGTTATCTCTATTTTCCAGGAAGGGGTGGGGAGAGAATAACGGGTGGAAATGTACGTGCTGATGTAAGCGCCTCCTCCCTCGTTAGAGGCCGGCAAGCTGTGCTGCTCCTTTGAGAGCTGCCTGGCTGCCCCCTGCCTTGCAGAGCAGTGATCATCCATCAACACTGTCCATCTTCCAGGGTTTAGTTAAGTTATATTTCAAAGGACCAGGGTGCATACAATTTATGTAAAATGAAGAATGAGTCCTTAATTTTCACTTTATATAAAATATGCGCATCTCAACAATCCCCACGTGCACTTTTTTTCGCTCTCTTTTCAATTCTGAAATCAGGATGCAGCCCTGAATGCGGGGTGCGGTGGATGCTGCCATACAATAACTGCCCTCCAGGTGGCAGTCACGATGTGGTAGTAACAGGAAAATCTTCACTGACAGGGATCAGGATCAAGAAATCAACCCCAAGGCTCTTTAGGGGGTTTTCTTGCTTTATTTTTTATTCATGTATCTATTTTCTTCTTTAATTGCCACCAAGTGCTTGCTCTTGCCAGAGAGAAGCAGAAAAACAAAGAGGGAGAGGAGAAAGCACCACCCCCATGGGGTATAGTCACACCGTAATCCCTTCTCCATCTCTCCCTCATTTTGGAATTTGGGGCACACACAGACACATGTGGCCAGTGTGCTTCTCAAGCCACCAGGTCTGGACTCAAACCGTACGGTTGGCCATGTGGGATCCAGCTGCTCAACCACCCTACCATCAGCCAGCATACTCAGCCTTCTTAAAATCCAAACTAATCCACTTTTTCAAAGTTGATTTGCAGACACTCGTTCCCATAACAAACAAATGAAAAAACTATTTCCCATAACAAACAAATGTGGAAACCCTAAACTTATCTACCATGTTATTTAAAATAGTTAACGCCCTTATTTCGTGACCCTGTGGTACACCCGGAAACTTTCAAGTACAGGCTTTGCACTAGACAGGTAATTCTTTCCTTCTCTCACTCCAACTTTCTGTTCATCTGTCCTCATTGTATATTTTTTTAAGAACTATTTTAACTTTATTTATTATTTTTATTATTTTCCAGTTTGAGCAGAGAGAGAGAGAGAGAGAGAGAAAGTGAGAAAGCAAACCACCAGGTCCGGGACTTGAACTGTGGTTGGCCATGTGGGAGTCCAGTGCCTTTAACCACCACACCACCTGCTAGCCTCCCTCCTCATTGTATATTTTATAAGCACACAAATCAGCGTGATAAAAATGCCCCTTAGGGAACCAGCAGTTAGCGTAACGGCTATGTCACTGGGCTCCCACCTAGTGACCGCAGTTCGCGTCCCGGACCCGGTGGCTTAGAACTCACGCCGGGTGCGTGTGCGTGCGTGCCCAAGATCCCAAGAAGAGGATGGAGGAGAGGGGACTGTGGCATGACCATCCCCCCCTGGGGGGTGATTTCTCACTTTCTGTCTCTCTGTCTCTCTCTGTCTGTCCGGCAAGCGCACGTGCCCTATAGTGAAAAAAACTCTCAAAAAAAAAAAAGAAAAGAAAAGAAAAAAGGCCCCTTAGATCGGCAGCCAATGTTCAAAGAAGCTATGGGGACACAAGCTATTTCGTGAAGTTAAAAGAAAGGTAGGAGAGCAGTTCGAAAGCAACTAAAATGTCAACACGGTTAGAAAAAGGCCAATTAGCAACACAGATAGAAAGCTGTGGTAAGTCTTGTGGTAAGTCTATATTAGCAGAAAAATGAAGCCCTTTAGAAAAAATTTCATAAAGCATTCTGGTGTTGAAAGTTCATGGCTGATGAGCTAGAAAAAAAAGGAAATTATTCCTAAATCCTTTCCCAGTTGGAAAGATTTTGTTTATACTTGCCCTAGTTGGACCCAGTGATCCTGGTGGTTTGGATTAGCTCTTGATATTTCTAGCCATTAGGGTGTTCTAATCAATAGTGCATTTCTGGGAACGAGCTGTCACCACGGATGGCTGGCCGAGGAAGGAGGCTCCTCCTCGTGTAAGTCACAAGCTCTCTCTCACCTTTCACTGCTCTGACCAATGGCCGTTAGTCAGTGATCCTAGGACATCGACACACCAAGGAGACCAGCGTGACACACCATCGTCCTCTAAGCACTCAGCTGCCCACGAAGGTATAAGCTTCTTTTATTTTCTAGAAGGCACATGTGCTCACTAGAGAGAGAGGGGAGGGAGCGGGGGGAGGGAAGAAGAAAGCATCGCCCCATGGGGAATGGTCATGCTGTAATCCCTTTTCTTCCATCTCTCTCTCCTTTGGGGATTTTGGTCATGCTGCCTCTGTGCCTGGTGTGTTTCTCAAGTCACTGGGTCCAGAACTCAAACCTCAGGATCAGCCATGTGAGATCTGGTTGCCTTAATCACAAGACCATGGAGTCAGCCCTTCAGGATTATTCTAAGGATTGGAAATAATGTATATAAAATTACTGGTACATGGCAAGAATTTAATAAATGAGAGCTGTAACTATTACTATTTTTTATTATTACCATTATATTACTTTTGTTAAACAACACAGTCCTCGGTTCAATCCACCCACCCTTGA